GGTTTTAGAGGATTACACCGTCATGTTGGAGAACTGCGGCCGTGGACGTGTCACCCCAGGTCTTCAAGCTGTTCCTCCGTGGTGATAAGCAGAACCCGATTGCCTTCAAGGGCCAGAGAACTCTGAAAGGCCGCGGCCTTAGCGGAGCAAGGTTTTTCTGCACACCCTCTAAGGATCCATGTGCGGATTTATGCTACACTTAGGCCATAAAGGGGTTCCTAGAAAGCAGCTTCAGGGCCCAAGTATATACCATATGGGTAGATGGATCCTTAGGGACAGGCTGCATCCTGAGTTAGACGACCCCGGAGGGCCTTGATCGTCATTCGAAGCTCAGCGTAGCCGCTGCCGGGAGTTGCTGAGGCTTCCTGACCTTCCTCCGGCAGCACACCAAGCTGGATATCCAGGACTTAGGGGTTTAGGGTTTAGGGTTTAGGGTTTAGGGTTTGGGGTTTAGGGTTTAGGGTTTATAGGGTTTAGGCTTTCCTTGCCGCGGCATTCCAGGGTTGTGGGCCTTGGGGCTCGTGGGCGCCAGAAAGAGAGGCTCTGACGGGCAAGGGCGTGCCCCCGGGAACTTTCATGCGGCCCTTATATATATATATATACATATCTATCTATATCTATAATATATATATATATATATTGTATATATGCTGAGGTGAATGTAGACACCTGTCAGACCATATCCAGGTGTCGTGGCCTTGAGTTCAGTACGTCGAAGCAAACGTCCCCAAAGCAAGAACTGAAAGCTGAGAAAGGTGATGGTCTATAGGCCATAGGGCTAAGGGGTGGAAAGGTTAATGTATGTGTGAGGACGCCTTGCGCCTACTGTACACCGACTACTGCGTTGACAAGTCCATTGAGGAGTTGTACAGGCTCAGACCTTTGTTTGGCTGTATTCTTTCGCACGAGTGGGATGAGCTTCTTCTGTGCACAGCCGACACAAGGACGCAGAGTGGCCCCTATTCCCTTGTTCTAGGGTTTAGGTTCCCTTATCAGCCCCTTCAAACCAAATAGGGCTCCCTTTTTGTTCCTAGCTTACTCTTGGGTCTAGGACAGTAGTCGCATGAAAGCTCTTGTTTCGATCGAGTCTCATGGCGTTGCTTTCCAAAAGTGGGGTGTGAAATGGTTGGGACAGATGCAGGGCTGCATGCGACCATCAATGCCAGAAGCAACCCTCGCTGCTATGAGAGGCAAACATGTCGTTTCTGACTATCTCAAGTTTTGGTCTGATTGGCCTGCTTGTGGCGGGCTTTCCATGCTTGACACATCGCTTCCTCAAACCAGCAAAGCTGCACTCATCGTCACACTCGGGCTCGCCCCTGAAGGTGGCTGGCTGGTTCTTAGTAGGGAATGAGGGAATGAGGTACCCTATACAATCTCTTAACAGGTATATATCTATATCTATATGGGTCACCGCCTATAGCGGTTCCCCTGTGTTTTTTGCACATTCCCTTAAACAGTTTAAACCATTTAGCCATTCAACCAATGGTTTCCCCATACGAAAATCCCTAAAACCATTAAACCATTAAACCGTTAAACCATTAAACCATTAAACCATTAAACCATTAAACCATTACACCATTAAACCAATAAACCATTAAACCATTAAACCAGTAAACCAATGGTTTCCCTTTTATGAAAATCCCCAAAACCATTAAACCATTAAACCATTAAACCATTCAACCATTAAACCATTAAACCATTAAACCATTAAACCATTAAACCAATGGTTTCCCCCTTATGAAAAACCCCCTAAACCATTAAACCATTAAACTATTAAACCATTAAACCATTAAACCAATGGTTTCCCCCTTATGAAAATCCCCTCAACCATTAAACCATTAAACCATAAACCATTAAACCATGAAACCATTGGTTTCCCCCATATGAGAATCCCCTTAACCATTCAACCATTTTCATGGGGGGGGGGGGGCAACCATTGGTTTAATGGTTTAATGGCTTAATGGCTTAATGGCTTAATGGCTTAATGGCTTAATGGTTTAATGGTTTAATGGTTTAATGGTTTAATGGTTTCAGGGATTCTCATATGGGGAAAACCATTGGTTTAATGGTTTAATGGTTTAATGGTTCAATGGTTTAATAGTTTAGGGGATTCTCATAAGGGGGAAACCATTGGTTTAATGGTTTAATGGTTCAATGGTTTAAGGGTTTAAAGGTTCAATGGTTTAATGGTTTAATGGTTTAATGGTTTAATGGTGCTCCTGCCGAGGTACCTCGTCCGCATCTTTTCTGCTCCTAAAAAGCCTGATTCGCACGCAGTGTCCCCTGTGTCTTTTCTGCTCCGAATATTCTGAATCGCAAGCAGTGTCCCCCGTGTCTTTTCTGCTCATAAGTGTATGTATACTATATGGGATTGCGCCTTAAACCCTAACTCCTTAAACCCTAACTCTATAGGGTTTAAAGGTTAGGGTTTAGGTTGAATTGCCGGCTTAGGTGAAAATGCTTCAATCTTAAACCCTAAACCTGTCAACCTTAACCCTATAGGCTTGGGGTGCCTACATCATGATCGGATTTGACGAGCTCTGCGGAAATATCTATATGACAAGGTTATAACTTATTGCTGTGCTTATAGCTATGGGTTGGGGTTTGATTTTTATACACTTATGTAAACCCATAAGAATAAGGGGAAGCCCATCACACCCCAATAAGCGAAACAAAACATCTGTCCCAAAGACTTTGCCTTAGCTAAGATATCTCAAGCAACCATCCCCCGATAAGCAAAACCTGAATTCCATCATTTAACGATATAGTTTGCTTACATGTTGAATCCCAGCAAGTAGGATATATGTGTATGACAAGGTTATAACTTTTTGCTGCGGTTATAACTAGGGTTTGATTTATATACATGTAAATAAACCTATAAGACAATGACGGTAACCCCATCACGCCCCAATAAGCAAAACAAAACCCATCCAGAAAACTCTACCTTGCCTAAGATATCTCAAACAACCATCCCCCGATAAGCAAAACTTGAATTATCCTTTTTGTTTCTATTTTGAAGGACATTTGCTCACAGTATTCGCGCGTCACCGGGACGAAAGCCCTACAAAAGTAGGCATAACCCTATGGGATTTAAGGTTTAGGGATATAAGCCTCAAGCGCTATAGGGTGGTTCTATTGTATAGGTAATTAATGCCAAAACCTTAAACCCTAATAACCCTAAACCTTTAAACCCTATAGGGTTCAATGGTTCGATGTATACCTTCAGCACCCTTTAGGGTTAAAACCTTTGTTCCTTGTAGAGCCCTATCGGGCTTTAGGGTTCTGACCCTAAACGAATCAGGGTTAAGGTATAAATGCCCGAACTTTAAACCCTTAAGGTGAAAACTCTTTGAGTTTTCGTTTTAAATGCCTAAATCCTAAACCCTAACCCCTTAAACCTTAACTCTATAGGGTTTCAAGGTTCGGGTTGAGGTGGAATTGCCGGCTTAGGTTTACATGCCTCAATCTTAAACCCTGAACCTGTCAACCTTAACCCTAGAGGGTTGGGGCGCCTACATCATGATCGGATTTGACGAGCTCTGCGGATATATGTAAATGACAAGGTTATAACTTTTTGCTGCGGTTATAACTAGGGTTCAGGGTTTGATTTATATCCATGTAAATAAACTATAAGACAATGAGGGTAACCCCATCACGCCCCAATAAGCAAAACAAAGCCTCTATCCTAAAAACTTTACCTAGGCTAAGATATCCCAAGCAACCATCCCCCGATAAGCAAAACCTGAATTCTATCATATGACGATATGGTTCGTGTATATTTTGAATCCCAGGAAGTAGTGAAAGGACGTTTGCTCACAGTATTCTCACGTCACCGGGACGAAAGCCCTACAAACGTAGGCATAACCCTATGGGATTAAGGTTTAGGGATTTAAGCCCGAAGCCCTATATGGCTTTAAGGTTCTATTGTATTGGTAATGCCCAAACCTTTAGCCCTAAGCCTTTAAACCCTGTAGGGTTCAATGGTTCAAGAAAACCTAAGGTCTCGGCATGTATACCTTCAGCACCCTTTAGGGTCAAGACCTTTGTTCCTTGTAGAGCCCTATCGGGCTTTAGGGTTCTGACCCTAAACGAATCAGGGTTAAGGTCTAAATGCCCGAACTTTAAACCCTTAAGGTTAAATCTCTATGGGTTTAGGTTTAAAGTTTAAAAATACTAAATCTGAAACCCTAACCGCTTAACCTTAACTCTATCGGGTTGAACGGTTAGGGTTTAGGTTTCATTGCGGGCTTACGTTTAAATGCCTCAATCTTAAGCCCTAAACCAGTCAAACTTAACCCTATAGGTTTGGGGTGCCTACATCATCATCGACTTGTTGCCGTGGTTATGACGATGGTTTAGGGTTTAAAATATATACATTTATGTAACCTATACAAGAATCAGGGGAACCGCAATAGGCGGACGCCCATCTATATATATATATATATGTCTATATATATATATATGGCTCCAATTCCCTCATTCCTTTCTAAGAACCGTGGAGGAGGTTGTTCATGCTGAAGATGCCTCGGTAGCGCAGTGGTACCCTGTGCCCGTTTTTGTTGGTTCCAGGTTCCCTTATGACCGTAACCAACCCCCAACAAGGGTACCCTTACCGTAAGATGGTGACAAGGCTAAACCCTAAACCCGAAACCCTAAACCCTTAACCCTAAAAAAAAACACAATTTACCCAAGGGACCACCTTCAGTTCACGTGCTTGGTTGCCAGAGGCGTCTCTTGGCCTGCCTTGTGGCCGCCCCCTCCTTGCCGCCCAACCTCCTTCGCCAGGGCCCTGCCATAGTGGAAGCTTAGGTTTCAGGGTTATGGATGGGGCTTAGGATTTAGGGTTTAGGGTTAGTGTTCAGGCTGGAAGGATCAGGGTTCAGGGTTCAGGGTTCAGGGTTCAGGGTTTAGGGTTTAAGGTTCAGGGTCTTGGGCTTCGGGTTCGGTTGGATTTTTTCCCTGTCCCTGCCTTTTCTAACATGCCTCTCAGAGTCGATATGGGGATTCTTTATGTTTTCGTGCTTGTTCTTCTTGGGGGAGGCGGGGAGGGGCACCCCCCCCCAGAAAAAGGCTCCGTATTATTAAAATGGAATGCCCCAAAAAGGGCCTCCCCCTAAGCTCAACGGCCCTCCCATGCCCTCCCCGAAACAAGAAGCAGCAATGACCTCCCTACTCTTCAGCGAGCCCCCCCCCGTCGGAGGGTGCGTGCTGCTAGCTGTGCTGTTCCTCTTGGGGGGGAGGGGGGACGGGGGGCAGGAAACCCTAAACCCTAAACCCTAAACCCTATAAACCCTAAACCCTAAACCCTAAACCCTAAACCCTAAACCCTAAACCCTAAACCTTGGCTGGTCCAGCCCTGAAGTTGACCAGGTTGGGCCGAGCAGTACTTCATCGATCCCGAGCGCTTTCTTCCTTCCGCCGCTGCCTCGAAGAGTTTTTTTGGCATACGATGGGCAAGAAATCTGGGTTTAGGGTTTAGGATTTAGGGTTCTGAGTCTAATGACCATGTCCTTTGCAAGCACCTTCTTTGTGGAGCAGGATATGAGCACGCATAGATGTGTACGCAGATCACGCCAGAGGGAGGAAGCCACGTTCGTAGGGCAACTGAGGGGTTTAGGGTTCAAGGTTCAGGCACGTTCAAGAGAAGGCTTGGGTTTAGGGATGAGTTCTTATCAACAGAGAACTATACTCAGAGAACCAAATCGCTGTAACCATGCTTTCAGGCATCTCAGCATGCAGGGTGATTGCTCTTTCTCCTGCTCTGTGGTGGGTTTCCGAAAAATGGGCCCCCAACATAGACCTAAAAATAGTAGGATCCCCTTATCGTACGGACCCCCCAATAAAGTACCCCCCCCCTAATATCCTAAACCCCATGTGCCTCAGTATCATCAGCACCCGCCAGCTGCTGGGTTCAAAAGGAGCACAAAGCCCTCAGACCTCCAGAGCCACGACAACTCCAAACACCGTAGGTGTCAAAGAGCTGCATTAGGTCTACCTGTACCTCCAAAGTCTGTAAAAAATAGCCCAAAAAACCCATTAAAAAAAGGCAATTGCTTTGCATGCTTTGCAGGTTTGGCCAGGGTTTAAGGCTTCTACTCAGGGTGCGTCCTCCTTGTCACCTCCCCAACTGTGCAATTTCGCAGACCCTAACCCCAGCAACTTCCGAGGACAGACCTCGAAGGCCTAAAGCCACCCAAAGGACTGCACTCGGAAGCCCTTTTGACTTAGCAAGTAGGGTTAGTAAAGGTGATTGATACTAGGGTTTCTAGGGATGCTAAGTAGAATTTAAGTAGACTAAGTAGACTTCCAAAGTCAAAGGAGCTTCAAAGTATGCGTGCTTCCCTCAACCAGCCCAAGTCCAAACGTTCAACCGACATCCCAAACTGCCCCCATCCTGGTTAATTAAGGTTAGGTTATCAGCCCAAACCCTGTAAGCCCACCAATTTAAGCATCAAACCCCTACACCCTGAACCCGACCACCCCCCAAACACTGAACCCTAAACCCCAAACCCCAAATCCTAAACCCCAAACCCAACCCCCAAAACCCCAAACCCCAAACCCTAAACCCCAAACCCTAACGCCAAAAAAGCCAGGGCGCTGACGACTCGATTCGTCAGGCCTTGGAAGCAGTGCCCTCGGCACTTCTACCGGAGGCCAGGACTTTGAACTGTTATTGTGGGAGGGGGGGGGGGTTATTGTTGTTACTTTTTTTTCTTTTGTTTTTGTTTTGCTGGCGGGGGGGGGGGGGGGGGGGGGTGGGGGGGGGGGCGGGGGGGGGGGGGGGGTGGCGGGGGGGGGGGGGGGGGGTGGCGGGGGGGGGGGGGAGGTGCAAACCAGTCCTTAACAGGGTTATTGTACCCCCCAACTATAATCCCTATTGAATACCTATTGAGGACCGTTAGTATAAGAGGGAAGATCCCAACCCTAAACAGTTATGAGCTCAGGGGCGCTACTTGGTTTGGCTCACGCTTTACGGGCGAGTCAAGTGTTGACGAATCCCTGAATCCCAAACCCTAACTGAGTGAGAACGAGTATTTTGGGGGTAGTTTGTACTGCTGATTGTAGACCTCTTTTTTGGGGGGATGGTATTGGGAGTTAGGTAGGCTACTGTATCAGCCTAAGCCCTACTTCGACCTTCAAAAAAGGTTTTCAAAACGTATGGCTCATGATATCCTTTCAACCTACATAGTAGTTAGGGGTTGGGGAGATCATACTCTGGCCCCATGCCCATGAGAGTAGCCAACCCTCCAGGTATCCTTCAATGTACCCGAAAATACCCGCAACAAGATGACCTCAGGCCCTTAGCAACCCTCTAGGCCCCTAGGGGGTTGCAGGTAGGCTGAGACATCGTCTTTTTTCCCGAGTTCGAGTACGGGTAAGGGTTTAGGATTTGCGGATTTAGGACGTTTGGGCCGCAATGCTGAGGCACTCGGGGTATATGGGCAGTTCTCTCAAGTCGGGTTCTCTTTTTGACGGTAGCTTATCAAGAGAGGCTCCATACATTCCAAGGCTTTATGCTTGCATGTTCTGCATCGTTTTGTATCATGGCTTTGTGCCTGGGAGGCCTTGCGGCCACTTCCTGAAGGAACGAAGGCACAGCCGGGCGGTCACCCTTAAACTCTAAGCCCTGCTTTCCCCAAACCCAAAACTCATAAGAGCCCTAGAAGCCCTTGAGCCCTAGCGCTCTGGAACTTCAAACCCCTAAACCCTCTAAAGCCCGCAAGTTAATTTAGGACTTGTGGTTTAAGAGTCTTCTGGGTTTGGGGTTAGGGTTCAGGGTTTGGGAGGTCCCTCGTTAGTTATAGCTGCAAGTATAAGTAACTCGTGTGAGATTGGCTATGACCTTACCAAGGGTACCTCTAACCCTCCTAAAACCACCCATAAACCTTCAAGTACACCCCAAACCCTAAACCTTCGAAGTAGTTCGAGAGCCCAAAGCCCTCAAGGTTTGGGTTTAGGGTCGGTTCCTCAGTCCTCCACGACCTCGGGTGAATCAGGGTTTGTTTTTTTTAGGTTTTGAGTTAGGGTTTAGGGTTTAGGGTTTAGGGTTTAGGGTTTAGGGTTTAGGGTTTAGGGTTTAGGGTTTAGGGGTTAGGGGTTAGGGGTTACCGGTCCAAGGCTTGGGTGGGTTCTTGGAGAACACTGGGCTTTGGAGTACTATACTTTCATACTTCTTTTGGTTTTGGGTTCCCATTAAAGATACTTATACCTAAAAAGTATATACTTTTTTTCTGGGTCTACTCCAGAGGTAGGAACAGTTCCTCCTGCAACCCTACACCAAAAGCCCTTAAGCCGTCGCCGGACTTTTGCGCAGATTTTGCTCACAGGTTCGCGTCACCCGCCACGAAGCCACCTTGGACAGGCAGGGCCCTTCGATCGAAGAATGCTTGCAGTCAGGGTTTGGGAGTAGGGTTGACTGGGACGCCGCCCAGTGGTACCCTTAGTTTCTTCTGTGGGGCATTCGGTTCCCTTACTACAAACCCCTTGTAACGAAAACGGGCAGACTTGTAGACCTGAATCCAGGGGTCATCCCGGGATCACTTCGAGGTTCATGGTACTTATGAACCAATGATAACCACACTTATCATCGTACTGAAAACCCTCTTAGGGCACTTCAAAGGCTTAAAAGTGGGTTAGAAGTACAGGTTTACTTGCTAGATAAGTACCATGAACCTCCAAGCAAGGCTTGATCCAAGACACGAATCTCCAGGCATGCACCCCAAACCCTGTTCTGGGTTGAGGCTCAGCCTCATCCCTTTAAGGCTCTGAACCCTTTGCTCCCCCCCCCCCCCCCACCGGGGGCCTCCCAGATGAGGACCCAGAAGATGGTTTGCGGCGTCTTTGACCAGCGATGTGCTCGCAAGGACGCGCTGCACGTGGGTTTGGGGCACATTGCACATCAGGCCATGGGTCGTCTTCGGCTCCGAACTTCGAACCCTGTTAGGGTTTAGGGTTTAGGGTTTAGGGTTTACTTTATCATAGTGGGGTAACATTTTACATTTTTAAGGGTACTTAAACTCAATAAGGAATAAAATTTTAAAATTTTATTTCTATCCCAACTATGAACCAGTTTAGGGTCGAACCCTGAACCTTTGAGCCCTCACAATGGGCAGCCCCTCAAGAAATCGTCAGGAAATCGTCGGTACTTGAGGGGCTCGGAACACAAGGAGAGTCTAAGAGAAATCCTGTGAGGAGCTACTGGGCCAGTTGGGTGTGGTGCTCTCTGTGAATGGCAACGAAGTCGAGGCCGCAGGGCTTCGGGCTTCGTGTTTTGAAGTCATGAAAATTATGATTGCGATTGTGTTGTGGAATTTGTATTTTCTGTTATTGTTATTTCTTCTTCTTTTTTTTTGGGGGGGGGATCCCACTGGACATTTCAACTTCTGAGCCTGCATGTCCTAAAGTCCTATATTGTACAAGCTCCCTGCATCAAACCCCCTCCGAAGCTGCAATGTTTTGGGGCAGCTGCGGCTGCAAGGTTTTTGAGGGGATTCGGGATGGATACGTGGGATGTTCCCACTTACACTAACAGTCCTTAATCGGCATTATCATAGGGGGTACTATAAGTCTCTATTAAGGACTGTGAGTAAAAGGGGGAGCGTCCCAAATGCTTGCCATGAGTACGCATTTTTTCCACCGCTTTGACGATCGACCTTTGGGATGTATGGGTGTCAGCCTTATCGCCATGTGGGAAATGGTAAGTAGTAGGTTGTAGGTAGCAGGTAGCGGGTAGCAGGTGGCAGCTAGTGTTAGTGGTAGTATAAGTGGTGGTAGTGGTGGTAGTGGTGGTAGTGGTAGTAGTGTTAGTAGTGGTAGTAGTGGGAGTAGTGGTAGTAGTGGTAGTAGTGGTAGGAGTGCTAGTAGTGATAGTAGTGGTAGTAGTAGTAGTAGTAGTAGTAGTAGTAGTAGTAGTAGTAGTAGCAGTAGCAGCAGCAGCAGCAGTAGCAGCAGCAGCAGCAGCAGCAGCAGCAGCAGCAGCAGGAGTAGTAGTAGTAGTAGTAGTAGTAGTAGTAGTAGTAGTAGTAGTAGTAGTAGTAGTAGTAGTCGTAGTAGTCGTAGTAGAAGTAGGTCGTCGTCGGTCGTAGTAGGTCGTCGTCGGTCGGCGTCGGTCGCCGTCGGTCGCCGCCGTCCTTGCCGCCGTCCTTGCCGCCGTCGGTCGCCGCCGTCCTTGCCGCCGTCGTCGTCGTCGTGTCGGTTGCGGTAGAGGTAGCGGTGGTGGTGGGAGTAGTGTGGTACTGGTACTGGTAGTGGTAGTGGGAAGTGGTAGTAAGCAAGCAAGCAAGTGGGCAAGTAATAGCACCTTCTAGTAAGGTGGTACTAAAGATGTGTAAAGAAGCCTTTGACGACCATAGTTGACAACAATAAAAGCAGAATTAGTAATACAATCCCCAAACACAACAAGTTCAACAAGAATAGTCAGAATACTGACAAACAACAAGAAGTCATACTTCTATTCAGAATATAACAAAGGTAAATAGTAATGGTCCCCCGTCAGCATCCTACGACGAGCCAAGGTGCAATTCCCACCCGACTTGCTGGTGTCCGTGCCCTGGACCATTGCACGTTCCGAAATGCTGCGAACATGTGGTCGTAACTGAAAAAAAGGTACCCAAAGGCTCCAATGGAGTTCCTTTTCGGGTTACTTTTCGGGTTAGTTACAAGGGGATTCTAGTATACTACCCCAGAAAGGCACTGCACAGGAGCCTTTGGGTAGCTTCTTCGTCCGACTCCTTCCTAGCTTTTACACCTACCTAAACCCTAAACCCTAAACCCTAAACCCTAAACCCTAAACCCTAAACCCTAAACCCTAAACTACACCCGAAACGCAACCCTGTGCACGTTTCAAGGCCAATGCGGTCCCATGGCCCGAAGCCCCGATGGGGAAATCTGGCAAGGGTCTCAGTCATGCGGGGACCATGACAGCACAGCGAATTTGTGCCCAGAGGCGACATGAAACTTGCTGCTTCTTGGAGTCTCCCCCAAATTCTTGTTGATTACTTTCGAGCCCTACTGTCAAGAACTTCAAGCCCTGCTTCTGCGACTAGCCCCTCCTGTCTTTCTCTGCGCAATGTAGACTCTATGCCTAGATGATTCCTCTTGTCTAAGCCCTAAACCCCCCGAATTCCGCTAGGCGCGGTTTCAAGATCTGGAGCGCCGTGGCATTGCAATCCTGCATCGCCAAGCTTTGGAAATCGAGGCAGGAATCGGGCTCACGACAGTCGGCCTGTGGGTCTCCCGACACACGCCGAAGAGACCCTAAATCCCCAAACCCCAAACCTCTAAACCCCCCAAACCCCCAGCTCCTGAAGCCCTAGGCCCTAGACTTCGGGTTTTGGAGGATAAAGGGCTGGGTGCTTCGGGTTTAAACACGTCGGGGAATCTCATGTTTTCGTGCTTGCAGAGCGAGCACCACATACTGCAGCAAACCCTACATCCTACAAGTTTAGGGTTTCGGGTTTAGGGTTTAGGAAACCGCAAAACCCTTAAACTCAAAACCCAGGCCAGAGAGTAGGCAGAGCAGGCTTCGTGCGGGCCCAGGGGCGGAGAAAAGAACAAGAACTCAAGCATTAAGGAGCTGAGGACAAGCAATCCCTTGGGGTTTAGGGTTTAGGGTTTCGGGCTTAGGGTTTAGGTTCCGCTGTTGCTAAAGGCCTCCCTCCCTGATTTTTCAGTGTTGTTTTCCCCAACCCCCCCCCCCCCCCTGTGTGCCCAGCCCAATTCTAAAACTGCTGGAGAATTAAGGGGTGGCCGGGGTCGAGGCTCTTCGTTTTGGAGTTGAGCCTTTCTCAGTTAGGGTTTGAGTTTAGGGCTTAGGGCTGAGAGGGATTTGCTTGATCTCAGCTTTTTTTCTTTGGGTGCAAGATGGTCTTTGGTGCTGTTTAGGGGTTAGGGAATCACTTGTTCTGTCTCTCTCTCTCTCGCTCGCTCGCTCACCCGCTCGCTCTCTCTCTCTCTCTCTCTCTCTCTCTCTCTCTCTCGCTCTCGCTCGAGTTCAGAACCCCTCGAATTTGTAACAATTTCTGGCCGATCCGAATTGTAGATTAGCTTCGAGAGAGGGAGGGGGGAGGGGTGGGTGGCTTGTATGAGGGGGAAGCGATTACAGCAGCGAACAGGCATCGAGCTGCCAGCAGCCTCCAAATGGCCAAAGAAAACAGGGCATGTCAGGGTTTTTTTTTAAAGAGTTTTTGGGGTTGAGGGGTATGGGTGTAGCAGACACCATGTGGCCTATGACGCAGGAACAAGCAGAACTTGTCATGCATGGCTTTTGCTGAAGACGCCAGGGCCGCGCCCGTGCTCTTCAGCTGACATCAAAGCTGACATGCATCCCACGTTATAGCCCTTGGATATGGGGATTCCAAAACTTAGGGGTGACTTTTTACGGGCCTTCTTCGGATACTTTGGGGGTTCACGGTGAGCGGGACCGATCCCCCATGCCCCTCGCGATTGAGCTGAGCCTGCTAAGTGGCAGGACGGTTTCACTGGAAGCAGATCCGGATGAGACCGTAAAAACATTCAGGAGCAGAGCTCAGAAGACTCTGGCAGTTGGCAGGGGCAGACTCTTGGACTCCTCCGGAAGCGTTCTGAATGGAGCAGCCACGCTTGAAGAATGCAGGTTGCAGAGCGGCGACAGGCTGACCTTTCAAATGAGCAGCATTCGCGTGCGCGGCAACTCTGGGGCTTTTGCTGCTATCCTTGGTGATGGGTCAGTTGTGACCTGGGGACATGTGAAGGCTGCGGCAGCGACAGCAGTGATGTGCAGGCTCAGCTGAAGGACGTGCAGAAGATCGAAGCTACCAGCAGTGCTTTTGCTGCCATTTTGGGCGATGGCTCTGCTGTGACATGGGGGAGTGCTCTTGTTGGTGGCGATAGCAGTGATGTACAAGGCCAGCTGAGGCACGTGTGGCAGATCCAAGGTACCAGCTGTGCTTTTTCTGCCATTGTTGGCGATGGATCCGTGGTCGTCTGGGGAGTTGCCTACCCCCAGGGAGTACCCCATACCAGATCAGCTGAAGGACGTCCGGGAGATCCATTCATCGCCGTCGGTTTTTGCTGCGATCCTTGGCGATGGGTCTGTTGTGACCTGGGGCGATGCTGTCTGTGGTGGCGACAACAGTCGTGTTCGAGATCAGCTGCGGGGTGTTCGGCAGCTCAAAGGTTCTGCATGGGCTTTTGCTGCCATTCTGGGTGACTTAGTAGTAGAGTAGGTAACCTTTAACCTTTTTGGGTTAATATAATCCCCTTTATAACCCGAAAGGTTAACCTTTAAAACCCCTAGGTACTGGACAACTAAGGTGATGGGTCTGTTGTGACCTGGGGCCATCCTGTGGTGGCGACAGCACTGCCGTACAAGGTGAGCTGAAGGAAGTGAAGCAGATCCAAGCTTCCCGCAAGGCCTTTGCCGCCATACTGGCTGATGGGCGTGTCGTGACCTGGGGCGATGATGACTGCGGCGGCGACAGCAGTGATGTGCAAGGTCAGCTGAAGGACGTGCAGCAGATAAGAGCCACCGAGACAGCGTTTGCTGCCATTCTGGCTGATGGGTCTGTTGTGACATGGGGCGTTGCTAGCAGCGGCGGCTGCAGCAGTGCTGTGCAGGGGCAGTTGACAGACGTGCAGCAGATCCAAGCTACCAACAGGGCTTTTGCTGCCATTCTGGGTGATGGTTCTGTTGTCAGCTGGGGTGATGCTGACTGTGGTGGCGACAGCAGTGGTGTGCAAGATTGGCTCAAGGACGTGCACGAGATCCAAGCTACCAGTGGTGCCTTTGCAGCCGTTCTGAGTGACGCATCTATTGTCACCCGGGGCAATGCCCGTCGCGGTGGGGACAGCAGTGGTGTGCAAGACCAGCTGAGAAACTGCGGTTTAGGGTTCAGGGTTTAGAACGCTCGAAATACATGGACAGAATGCACATTGGGCAGAGCTACTTCCGGATCATGTGGGCTTCAGGGCATAGACTTTTTAGATATTTTGTTTGCGACACACAAATCGAGCGAGCCGAGCTTCACCCATTTCAGAATCGCTCCAGGCAATACTGGCGGGCAAACCAAATCCCTGGATCCTAGATGCTACAGTAGGGTTTGGGATCATATATTATGTACACAATGCACATATATATATATAATATGTGTAGTAGAATATAAGATTATACTGTATGGGTTGTTTTTGTGGATTTGAGGCTTAAGGGCCCCTAGAGCAGGCCTTCGGAGTTTTGGAGTTCGGGGATTCTTCATGTATGCCTAAACCCTAAACCCTAAACCCCAAACCCTAAACCCTAAACCCTAAACCCTAAACCCTAAACCCTAAACCCTAAACCCTAAACCCGTTGGGTCGGGGAGTCCCTGACTCCCTTGCTTTTGGCATTCGGCTTGAGAGGCCGAGATTGCTGCTGCGCAGTCGCGCCTGCCTCAGTACTCCAGGTTTAGGGTTTGGGGTTTAGGGTTTAGGGTTTAGGGTTTAGGGTTTAGGGTTTAGGGTAACCGAGTAACCGAGGCTTCTTCCCCACCTCTCGGAATTGGGTTGCAACGTCGTTAACTCAACTGCTATCCTCACGAGGGAATCCTGGCCCGGTTGCACACCCCCACAGGATTCGGCAGCGAATCTTGAGCGACCAATCCCATTAATTATCGGGTTCTTAAGGGAGGGGGCTTCAAGGGGGGTATGCAACCCAAGACTCCCTAGTACTCCCTGCTATTCCCTACGGCGCCCTATGCTTCCCTACGGTTCCCTAAGTACCTACCCCCCTTGAACCCCCCTCCCCAAGAATCCGGCACTGTATCCATGAGTGCCCGGCCAATCCCAGATGATCGTCCTATATCCCCATGGGGAATTATTGTTGTTTTTTGTTCATAAACATTTAAGAGGATATCAAAAGAATATGATTTTGTTATGAAGGTTCAAAGGGGAGTATAGCCTCATTTCAGTGCCCATCAAACGCTCAAGTTGTTGGTGTGGGATGCTCGAGGTATGTGAAGTATGGTATTGAATTGGGCAGTGTGCAAAGCTACGGTCTCCTGTGGTGCACAACCCTAAACCCTAAACCCTAAACCCTAGACCCTAGACCCTAAACCCTAAACCCTAAACCCTAAACCCTAAACCCTAAACCCTAAACCCTAAACCCTTAAACCTAAACCCTAAACCCTAAACCCTAAACCCTAAACCCTAAACCCTAAACCCTAAACCCTAAACCCTAAACCCTAAACCCTAAACCCTAAACCCTAAACCCTAAACCCTAAACCCATCCTTAACCCTAAACCCTAAACTACCATGTAGCATGGTGTGAACTAGGGCTCGAGATTGCTGCGTTCAGCTGCACATCAGTAGAAGACTCAGGCATCAGCGGTCAATCTCTTGCGGACGCAGTCCATCAAACCCTCAAAAGTGTTGCAGTGGTTCTTCTATAAATGAGTCAACTTTTCTTTCCCCTCCCCAAATAGGAGTACTTCATGAGGCCCCCAATTCAAAAACACAGCCCCCTACACCCTACACCCTGAACCCTCAACACTAACCACCCCCCCCCCCCCCCCCCCCCCCCCCCCCTAAACCCTAAACCCTAAACCCTAAACCTAAACCCTAAACCCAAAACCCTAAACCCTAAACCCTAAACCGGGAGATTCCCTTGTTGGCAAACGCCCGTGTCACCGGCGCCGAGGCGAAAGAACAAGTGGGCCGAGGCCACGCTGTTAAAAAAAAGAGTTTCTTAAAGTTTGGGGTTTAGGGTTTGGGTTTGGGGTGTAGGATTTAGGGTTTAGGGTTTAGGGTTTAGGGTTTAGGGTTTAGGGTTTAGGGTAGGGTTTAGGGTAACCCCCCATTCAGCCATACACAGAAGCCCTATGAACGCCAGAAGCACCACGAGCCCCAAAAGCGATATGCGGGGGTTTACGAAACTAAGGGACACCTAGTCTAGACCGCCCAATCGCAAGATTCCTTTCCCGCAATGTGGTACCCTACTTTCGGATGCCCCCATATCAACCCTGAGCCCTGAACCCTAAACTCGAACCCTAAACCCTAAACCCAAAACCCCAAACCCTAAACCCTAAACTCTAAACCCTGAACCCTTAAACCCTAAAACCCTAAACCCTTGAGATATCAACCCTCAACTCTAACAACTTGAAACTGTCGAGAGCTGCGGCTTTTCGGAGGTGTGGGACTCCTTGTGGCGAGCTCGGCATCGGAAGCGGGTGTAGTCTTCCCATTGATTAAGGTTTAGGGTTAAGGGTTTAGGGTTTAGGGTTTTGGGTTAAGGAGCTCTGAGCTGAAAATCAGAGCCCTCAGGTTTAGGGTCCTGCTCGTTCACGAGTCCTACCCCGAAAACACCCCTCGCTAAACCTGTCACGGACCCTCCCCCCCCCCCCCCCCCCCCCCCCCCCTTGGAATAAAATGCCGAGACCCCATACAAAACACACAAAGCCCTACAATGTGAAACCTCATACATGGGGGTTTCTGAAAATAGGGGACCGCAAATATAGACCCCCCAAAGGTGATTCCCTTGTAAAACATGACCCCAATACGGTGCCCCCTAATTTCGGGGAAGAAACCCTAAACCCTAAACCCTAAACCCTAAACCCTAAACCCTAAACCCTAAACCCTAAACCCTAAACCCTAAACCCTAAACCCTAGCCCCCACAGATCAAGGCCAGCTGCAGAGAAGGCGCGGCTCCACGATCTGATACTCCGGCTCGATGCCCAGCTCCTGAACGCGCAGCCGGGCGACCCGAGGCGGGAGCTTTTTTTGGGTGGGTTTAGGGTTTAGGGTTTAGGGTTTAGGGTTTAGGGTTTAGGGTTTAGGGTTTAGGGTTTAGGGTTTAGGTTCCCTTATGGTCCCTATATACTTATACTAGAGCAAACCCCGAAACCCCATTCTAATTGTTTAGGCCCCTACAAACGATGGTCCCTTGTAAAGCTCCTGCCATAATACGAAGCCTAACAAGTCGTGCCCTAAAGGGACTAGATTTGGCAGGGATGGCAAGGGGAACTTGCTGGAACTTGTTTAGGCCCCAGTATTTGGGTATTGAGGGTTTAGGAGGGGATTGCAGAGCTTAGATATGGCCCATTACTAGGGACAAAAGGGCGAGAAAGTGTGCAGGGAGGAAGTGCATAGCATGTCTCCCTAACCCTGAACACCTAAACCCAAAACCGAGCTTTGCTTGGCGTAGTCTGTTGATAGACCCTGAGCCGAAAATCAGGGGCCCCAAGTCCAGGGTTTAGGGTTTAGGGTTTAGGGTTTAGGGTTTAGGGTTATAAAGGGGGTTACGGTTGCTGCGCAGCAGCTGATTACGACTTTTGTCTTTGGGGTGCGTGAGCTCAGAGGTTGCGGGTTTCTGGGAGCATGGCTCTGCTTATTGAGAGGCTTTCCTCTGTTTAGCGAATGTTACCCTCACCGCCCCCCCCCCCACCCCTCCAACAAAAATTGTACTGGCAGGGAGTTTCTGGTGCAAGCCATCACAGATGGGAACCCTCTGACCACCTCGCAGCGTGCCTGTAGCGAGCTGTCCTGGCTTGCAGCCGTCAGTTCAAGTTTAGTAGGGGCTCTTAAGCTAAGGTTAAACCCCAAACCCGAAGCCCTAAGCCCTACACCAACCCTGAACCCCAGATTTCAGGTCTTGTAGGCTCAATGCTGAGGATCTCGAGCTGGCATCACAAATCTGCTGTTCTTGAATAGCCACCATTGGTCGGCACCGCAAAACCCTACCCTGACCCAAAGCTATATACCCTGAATGAATTTTAGGGGTACAACCCCTACTACAAGGGGCTACAGGGTTCTATAGGCGTGAAAGGCCTTGAAAGGGAATTTATGAGGGGCAGCACAAGGCCACTCTCCCCGCCGCAGTTGGGGGAGACTTTCTCTCTTGATTTTCCCTAAACCCTAAACCCTAAAAAGGCCATCCTCAAGGTTATGTCGAGGCTTTGAACCTACGTGTCGCTGCGATTCGGGGTTTAGGGGTTAGGGTTTAGGGTTCTTTTAGAGCTAGCTGGGTCTCTTCTCCGAATTTGGATGCTGAGCAGAACTTCTGACTATATAAACTTAGTCCTGATTGTTTTCAGCTCCAAATTCCCAGTTGAGTCTCCACCATGCCTGGGGCTACTAGTTTTGCGGGGACTTTGCCCGCTAAGCACCTACATATCGGTCGTAGATGTACACCCTAAAACCCTATCCTAAACCCCTTCGCCACAGCAGGCTTCCACATTTAGAAGTTCCCAAGCCTAAAGCCTAAACTCCTGATCTCCGAACAGAGGGAAGCCTGAACATTGAAGCCCCAAGCCCGAAGCCTGAAAGGGTTTCGGGTTTGGGGTTACATCCGGTTTCAGTTCCCTTCCGAGGACCGTGTACCCACACTTCTCTGGTGCTCACCGACCAGCGAAGGTGGCGGTGAAAGCCCCACGGGCCATGGGCAAGCAGGAGGCTGGGTTCAAGGGATTAAGACTCGCACCCCTAAGGTTGTACACCTAGAGGTTCCCCTTGAAATGCTCCGAATATGGCCCTGCTACCTGGAGCTTCTAATAAAGGGTCCTAAAAGCACCCAAAGGCACAACCTTATGGATCCAAGGTACAACCCCGTAGATGGGTGTCAGAACGCAGGATCACATGACATGGGCGTTCGAGCACAGTGGAGAAGGCTCTCAGAATGGACTTCCCATCACTAAAACCCTAAGCGCCATACTCTCAACTTGATAGCGATTATACTCTTTTGGACAAACACCGTCATTCGTTTTTCATCATACGGGGCTTCGAAGACTCTCAGCCCTTCACCACCTTTCGCGCGACAAGTCCAAGAAGCCCTTGCAGTCCCATAAGCCCTACAAGCCCTATAGCCCCTAACCCGCCATCCCAAACCCGAAAACCCTGAAACCCTCAAACCCTGAAGCCTCGAAAGCCGGATAACCCCAACACCCTCTAACCTTAAAGCCCCAAATCCCAAGCCCCCCTCCCTTTAGGGTTTAGGGCTTAGGGTAAGCCCTGAACCCCAATCCCTCCAACGGAGGCCAATGCTGCCTGGCCTGAGTTGGAAAGCGCCTTGGGCACCCTGCGAAGAGAGCGTTTAGGGGGGTTTTGGGGGTTTTTAGGGGTTTTAGGGCTCCGTTATTGCTAGTATTCGTACGATCATTATCATTATTGTTGCTACTTTCTGAGAACTAGTCTTATTTTTCGGTTCAGTGTATACATGGTTACCTTTGAGAACATTCGCATGGCAGAGAGCTACTTGCTGAGGTGCACTGTTTTTGCCCGACGCCTTTGGTCTCCGCGGCCCTGGAGCCATCGAACGTGTTGCCTTGTTTGTACCCATCGGAGGTTTATCTGAACACCCCAGGTACACCTTGGGATGTTCCCCCTTTATACGAATAATCCTGAATAGGGACTAGAGTACCCCCCCCCCCCCCTATTGTAATCTTATTGATGACTGTTAATATATGGTACACCTCAATCAGGGACCTATAATAGGTAACTCAGACATGTCGGCTGAGGTCTGCCAAGGATCGTTCTTATGGGGCGTTTAGGTTACGAACGGTTACTATTCATACATTGTCCCCAGCGTGGCAGTCGATTGAAGAAATGTGGGGAATCCATTGGGATGTCGGAGCAGCATACAGCAGCAAGGAATTGGCGTTGCGAGTTCCTTGACGCACGCATACATGGCGTGTTCTTCACACATTCGGGTCGCACGTTTACACAGAGCATTAGATTTACTTTGGAAGAACTGCGGATGGGTACGGTTGTCAACTCTATTACTGTGATCGAGCATGCTGCAAAAGATGAGCCGGAAGGTGGAACAGCTCTAAAGTTGCGGTCGGAAAAATTACTCATAGTGACCCCTATATGTGTATACTATGTTCAAATCTCCCCCTATAGGCGGCTTCACGCAAGAGTGTCTTGAGGAGGAGACGACGTACGGCTGCAGTTCTTGCGAGAGTTGCTGTCCAGGCCAGCAGTGCACTTTGGCCATTCAATCTCTCAACATTCTATGATGCAGGTGTGTTTTGACGGGCTCTGCATTCAGATATACTAGCAGCAGCTAATGAGTTAGTTCCGCCATGATGTCGACACTAAGCTGCACCATTCTCACGTCATCGTCAACTCCAGCACTGTTGCAGGGGCCTGGCGCCAGACTACAGCATCTCCCTCAGACGGTTCAGGGTTTTGTAACTCAGGAGTTTGGGCTTTTGAGGCCCAGAAGCCTTAGAAGCCGAGAGTTCCCCCGCCCTTGTGAATACAAACGCCAATATGAGAGTTTCTCTCTGACTTTTGTGGCCCCTTCCTGACCACACCTAGTGCAGGGCTCTAGCAACCCAAACAGTACCTTAATTTAGGGTTTAAGGTTTAGGGTTTAGGAATCATTTTCCCATGCTGCCCCCCAGGCTTCCGCGGGCGGCCGCTGCTCCATCGTGCTTGCGAGTTCTCACCCCAGTCTTGCGGAGGGTTGGATTTGGGCTTAAGCCGTAGGGTTGAGGGTGAATGTAGGGTTTGGGGTTTAGAGTTTAGGGTTTAGGGTTTAGGGACATCAACTCCAATTCAGACCATGAGTAGTTATAGCTGGGGTTCTGAGCAACTTGGGGTCTGCTGGGTTTGACCCCAGAACTACCTCTTTTGAGGAGTGCTGTTTAGGGTTTAGGGTTTAGAGTTTAGGGTTTAGGGTTAGGGTTTAGGGTTAATACCCTATACCCTAAAAGCCCAAACCTGCACGACCCGGAAAAGCCTGAACCTCCACCAGCCTCACTTGCTGAAGGGCTTCAACACCAGCTTCCGGCTTGCCTCTGTGAGTGGACCTGCTCCACGCGCCCTCATTAGGTGGGGTTTAGGGTTTAGGGTTTAGGGTTTAGGGTTTAGGGTTTAGGGTTTAGGGTTTAGGGTTTAGGGTTTAGGGTTTAGGATTCAGGGTTTAGGATTCAGGGTTCAAGGTTTAGGGCTGAGGCTTTCAGCTCTGGCCTTCTTAGGGCTCTGGATTTAGGACTCGGGGCATGATGTGGCCAATTTTGGTCATCTCCCTAAACCCTAAACCCTAAACCCTAAACCCTAAACCCTAAACCCTAAACCCTAAACCCTAAACCCCCAAACCCCAGACCCTAAATCTCTGCCCTGCTTCTCCAAAGTGAGAGCCGAGTCGCCGAGGCCCGGAGACTTGAAGCTGGTAAATCCTAAACCCTAAACCCTAACCCTAACCCTAAACCCTAAACCCTAAATCTCTAATCTACTTCTGAGGTCTGGAGACTTGCAGCTGGTGGAGCTCCTCTTTGCTTGCGGCGCCGACCTGTGCAGCACTCGGTACATTCCACTTTCTCAGCTGAAAGAGGCTTCGATAGGGCCCGAAATAGTAGGTATACGAGTACCTTAATTTGTTAGTATAGATTCATACATAATTATGGTTCTATTGTATTATGATCTTAGAAAGAATCAGAGTCCTGAGCCCTCAGGCCTAAATCCCATGATTGCTTCTGACTGAGAAGATGAGTGTAACGGGTCATGCTGGGTTGGGCCGTTGACGCCATCGCTCCTCGCGAGCGAACCCTCCTCTCAAGGCACGCGCGTGGTGGAGAGGAGATGAGCTTACCGATTGAGGTGCCGGGCTCCACTTGCAGTTGAGGGTGGCCCTAAATTGTGAACCCTGAACACCAAAGCTACAAGATTGTCGAGCCCGGTTTTGTGTGAGCGCGTTCCTGCACCCCACACAAAATGACTTGCCAGTATCTTCCCTCACCAGAAATTAGCAGTACAACCACCAGATGTAGGAGTAGATGGTTTGGACCCTAAACCCTAAGCCACAAGGCCCTAAACCCCTACACCCCTGAAGCCCAAAACCCCTCAACGTTCATTGACGATTTTTTGTGATTGCCCCTCCCTTACTTCCTTTGCTTTGCATGCTTTCGCCTATACCTGCAGCGCTGCACGCTCCTACCTGATATGATCATGATCCCTAAACCCTAAACCCTATACCCTAATCCTTAGACCCGAACCTGGCGACGCAAGCCCCTGCACCGGAGCCTGAACCCTCGAGGACATCGGGGTACCTATCTTTCTCGGGGATGAAGTGAACCCCTAAAAGGGTTTGTGTTCCTATACCTTAATAGGAATAATTCGTAGTATAGGGTATATGACCCCAATTTTAGGGTTGCTTTGGTTCCCAAGGTTCGGGCTCTTCGAGCGAGGAAAGTGGTTTCTTTGAAGCACAACTTGTACATAAGGGTACCCCTAAACCCTAAAGACTGAGTCCAAAACCCTGTTCCGTGTTAATTCATACGCGAACGACGCAAAAGCCCGTCCCTGCCACAGGGTTTGCAGGGCTCAGGCTACTACCCTTGGGCGAAGTCTAGATAGCGCAAGCCAACCGAAACTGCAGCGCTACCCGACACCCTAAACCCTAATCCCTAATCCCTACAGCCTGAAATCCTAAACCCTACTCCATAAACCCTGAAACCCTAAACCCTCATCCCCGTCCCTGTTCAAAAACCCCGAAGCCCCAAACTCTTCCTTGCAGGTTGCAACCTTTTGCGGTCAGATGGGCATCCTCCGCCTTCTCCTCATGAACGGTGCCTTCCTGCCTTCAGCACTCCCTGCCCTGCGTTGATTCATAATACTACTACTACTACTACTACTACTACTACTACTACTACTACTACTACTACTACTACTACTACTACTACTACTACTATTTTAGTATTTGTATTCTTTACTACAACTACTATTGTTGTAATTGTTGTTACTAAACTTTGTGAGAGCGTATGTGTGTAAATTTGATATTTCAGGGCTTCTGCTGGGGCACAGGAGGGTTGGTCTAAACTGGGATTCTTGCAGGTGCAACCCAGCATCGTTTATAGAAAGGGTTGGGCCTGAGCAAAGCGCACAAGCACCGCTCTAAACCATTAACCCTAAACCCTAAACCCTCTAAACCCAAAAACCCTACCAACAAACACCCCGATAATCCTATAGCCCTATAAACCCCAAACCCTAAACCCTAAGCCCGACCACCGGGCCCAAGTGGGCAGGCTCATGCTTCGGCCGCTCCCTACACATGGCAGCCTTGGCGGGCCATGTTGAGGTGCCTTTTCTGCTTTTTCTGCTTGAACGTGGGTAGGGTCCAGGGTGTAGGGAGTAGGGTTTTCGGGGTGGCCAGGGGCTGTAATGGTACTGTAGGGTTCTGACATGCAAAATAGGCCAAACCCTAAGCCCTAAGCCCCAAACGCCAGCGGGCGTCGGGCTTCGGACTTCGAAGTCGACTGCTGCGCCCAAGTACTCCAACCTCTTAGTGAGTTGGCGCTCGCGCACGTTGCAGAGCTGACGGCCAAAATAGTGTCGAAGGTGTTCTATCATGCGAAAAGCAAGATGGTTATTAGTATGTGTGGTACTATTCCTGCTATTATGATAGTGGCGGCTTTTTTTAGTATCTGTATATTGTTATGCTACGATATTGGTATGTGATTACAAGTTTGTAGTTTCATACAGTCCTTTATGGTAATATTCATGCAATACTGTGCCATCACAGTCTTATGTTAATGATGATCGTTTAAGACCCTGAACCCTGCACCCTAGACCCTAGACCCTAACTAAGCCCTAGTTGGCGCAAGCTCGTGATATTTAGAGGCTCTTCAGCTGCTGCTGGCCTACGGAGCACGTGCTGACCTGCGGGTGGCCACTCGGAAGAGCAGTCGGCTAGGAAGGCCTTAGGGTTTAGGGTTTAGGGTTTAGGGTTTAGGGTTTAGGGTTTAGGGTTTAGGGTTTAGGGTTTAGGGTTTAGGGTTTAGGGTTTAGGCTTCGGGATTAGAGCTTTGGGTGTATTGGGTTTACGGAGTTTCATTTAGGAATATGTTTCAGAGTGTTTTAGGGGGCCGTCCTGGCAACCGTGCTGATGGAATCCCCTGGACCCTCAAGAGTTTAAAGCCGGAGGTTCGGGAGTAAATCTGCAGGGTTTGGGGTTTAGGTGCATCAATCTGGAACTGGAGATGTGCAGAGTTCCGGAAAGTTTTGGAGAAACACGGCGTCCCTCTAAAACAATTCGACCATTTCCGATGTCAACATCTTTGAAACACTCTGCCTTCTGAACCGTGAACCTGATTCGTCTTGCTTGCCGTCGCCAATTCTTCCAGGATGTGGCCACTCTAACTGAACCCTAAACCCCAAACCTGCCCTAAACCCTAAACCCTAGACCCTAAGCCCTGAACCCTAAACCCTAAACCCTAAACCCCCCTGACCCTAAACCCACAACCCCAAAACCCCTGAGGCCGGCTACGGCGCCCTGGATTTGGCGGTGGCTGCGGCCCAGGACCGCGACAAGCAACAGGGGAGGGCATTGTAGCGTTTAGGGTTTACAGGGCTTTGGGTTTACAGCTTATAGGGTTCAGGGTTCAGGGTTCAGGGTTTAGGGTTTAGGGTTTAGGGTTTAGGGTTTAGGGTTTGGGGACTGTAGGGTTTAGAGTTTTACAGTTTAGGGTTCGGAGTCTAGGGATTGTAGGGTTCAGGGGTTAGGGAAACTGTTAGAAGGGTTGGAGCTGGTAAACCCCTAAAATGGGTTTAGTGCTTTGCTTGCACGGGCTTGGGGGTTTTCTGATGCGGCCTTACGCTCCAGGTTGGGGCAAAAAAGGGCCCAACATGTGCATCAGCCCCCCCCCACGTGACATGGAGATTCTTCTAAGTCATGAGCTCTTTTTGGGATTCGGGTTTAGGGTTAGGGTTTAGGGCCTAATTAGGCTGTTTTGGTCCTTGTGCATTCTGAGTAATAGGCCCCACCTCCAGACATTCGGCCATCTGTCAGGCACCAATCGTGGATCTGCTCCTCCAGTGCAAGGACTCTGCAGTGTCAGTAGGACACCTGCTTTGTGCTTTTTGGGTTTCTGGGTTTCCTGTACTGGTTTGTTGTCTGGTTTGTAGTAGGGAATGGGGGGATTTGGTTTAAGGGATTGTCATTGTATAGGGTACCTCATTCCCTCATTCCCTACGAAGAACCAGCCAGGTTTTCGTAATCCCCCCCACATGCCCCAACCCCGACAAACAGCTCCCCGAGGAGCTGGAGACCAGCGCAGAGGAGCGGCTGAGCTCCCAGGTAGGGCCATGTTGGGGTCCTGGGAGGTTAGCCTGAGCCCTAAACCCTAAACCCTAAACCCTAAACCCTAAACCCTAAACCCTAAACCCTAAACCCTAAACCCTAGATTAGTTTCTTCAAGACGGGGACCGGATTGAGGGATTTTGTTCTTGGGAAAGTCGGGGACTTCCTGAGCTGTGGTATAGAAGGTTCAGAACATGGCAGAGAAGATCTAGGGGTCTTCGGGTTTAGGGTTTGGGTTTAGGGTTCTAAATGAGCTTCACTTTGTACAAAGGATCAGTAGAGCTTCTTATCAAGTTTTGCGGCTTCGGGCCGTCGCGAGCAGACGAAACCCCGACACCGCAAGCCCCACCTCCCCCCACCTTCGCGCGCGCCCCCCCAGCCTCTGAAAGAAGCAGCATCAGCACTGTCGTTAAACCTCCCAGCCTTGCACCTCGAACCCCTAAGACCCCCAAAGCTCCTGAAGCTCAACCCCCCGAACCCCCCTCCCCGCCCCGAAGCCACCCCGAAACCTCCCCGAAGCCTCCCCCGAAACCTCCCTAAACCCTAAACCCTAAACCCTGAAACCTGAAACCTGAAAGCTGAAACCTTTCCAAAAAAACCGAAGGTGCAGGGCCGATTCGGCCTAGCAGGCCGAAGCCGGCGCCTGCATCTGGCAGCCAAGCTGGGTGGCCCCAGAGGCCGCCCCTCTTTCCTGGTTGGGTAACGCTTTCCTGGTTGGGTTTTGGGTTTAGGGTTTAGGGTTTAGGGTTTAGGGTTTAGGGTTTAGGGTTTAGGGTTTAGGGTTTAGGGTTTAGGGTTTAGGGAGTGGGGTTTCTGTCAGCCTTTCGGGTCTGTTTTAGAGGGGGCCCCTTGTTGTTTCTTTTTGAGCTACTATGACTTTGTATGGGGGGTTCGGAGGGATTCGGAGGGTTGAGGGCCTTCACGGTTTAGGGCGCTGTCTTTTGATGTTTAGCGCCTCCAGCAACACATGCCGGCTGCGCTCGTCTTTCTTCATCTTGCTATTTTTTGCGAGGACTCGGAATAATTGCTGCGACTCTGATTAGTATGATTCTCGTTCTCTCTGAGCTTGCTGTTGCATCTGCGATGTCTCTCGAAACAAGGGCAAGTTAGGTGGAGGGTTTAGGACGGGTTAAAATCTTTGGCTGTTATCCAGGTTTTGAATGCATTTCAGGCATGGGGCTGAAGGGAACCTCTAGCCTAAGTGCTTGGAGGTTCAGGGAGTAGTTGTTTAAAGTTATTTCCGGCTTTGAAATAGGCTATGAAATAGGGTAACTGTCGATGAAGCTTAGTTGGACACCCTTTCTTATATTTTGCTACTTCTACGCGGACCAATACTGCAAAATCGGGTTGAAGGGTGGTCGTGGCAGGGTCAGCCAACTCGCGCATGCCAGGTGCTATCATGGAACTGCTCCTCAAGCAAGTCAGGGCGCTTCGAGGTGACGACTCCTGGCTTCTCATGGAAGCGGAGGACAGGGCGTGTGCCTATTTCAGGAGGGGGAGGGACATGTACCAAATGAAGATCAGCTTATTTTCTAGAAAATGGACATTTCTGTTTTCTTAAATTGGATCGGGTGGATGCATGGGTTGCGCTGAGCTTCGATCTGCAAAGTTGTTTGCGACGCCCTGCAGCTCAATGGATACTGATTGGGGGCCCTTCTTTCTCTCAGATGCCCTCTAAACTCCAAGCCCCAAGCCGAAAGACGTCAGAACATTTATTTCCGATGCCCCTTTCTGGAGGACGGCCGCACGCCTTACCAGGTTGCCGCTTTGCCGATTCGCTTGCAGATGAAACCCAACTGCCTGGATGTTTGGCTACTCGGCTTTGGGGATGGGGGGAGGAGGGGGGGGGGGGGCTGAGACCTTTTGCACTTGTCCAGCCTAACCCTAAGAAACTCTATAGCAACCTTCAACCCTAAACTCTAAACCCTAAACCCTAAACCCCCCTAAACCCTCGTGTCGGATGAGTACTTCCATGCTGGGCGCGCGAAGGTCGACGCTCCTGCGCAGCTGGCCACAGCCTGCAGGTGAAGCAGGGCTAGCAGCCCTTCGAACCGTGCTGGAGGCCAGGAAAACATGAAACGGGACCTCACGTTGTGTTGTTTTCAAAACTAGTAGTTATCATTGTCGTACTGCTCATAAGAATCATAAGTCTCATGATAGTCAATGTAGTAGTTCACGAAGGCCAAACATATTTGTACCAGGTGATTAACAAGTCGTTATTGCAACTATTTCTACTCTTTTTGAGAATGCATGAATGTTCGCAGCTTGTCATCATGAACACCTTTTTAATAGCAATAACCTTCTCATTATTATGAGCCGTGTATGGTTAGACTCCCAAATCTGTATACCAAACACATACAGGATGACATCATCATAAACTTCAAGAGTGAGTGCTTTTGATTCTGCTGTATTTCTATCAAACTATTTATGAATAATTTCATTATCCAGCACTGCTTTTTTCATTTGGTCACGATCACACTCCTCATTGTTGTAGTCAGCAACTTAGTGAATATGCCCGATTTCATCCTATATTACGTACCCTTTAGCCCTCCCTAAACCCTAAACCCAACACCCAAAACCCTAAACCCCAAACCCTAAACCCCTGCGCCCATGAAGCCTCCCAAGGCGAAGGGCGACGCCAACACAGCGAATGCTGCCGGTTGGACACCCTTGCTGTTGTGCGCCATGGTTGATAGGCTGGACTGTGGGCTTTAGGGTTTCGGGTTCAGGGTTCAGGGTTTAGGGTTTAGGGCTAGGCTTTCGGGTTTAAAGGGTTTAGAGGTTCAAGCTATGCGGTACAGCAAGCAGCCGGCATGGTAAACCCCGACCTGAGCCATCGTCTGCGGCCGCAGGGGCGATGCTGTGGAGCTGCTGCTGAAGCACGGCGCCGATCCGTATCAGGTGGCTCTGTGTGTGTGTGTGTGTGTGTATGTGTGTGTGTGTGTGTCTGGTTTTTGATTTGTTCCCCGGGGCGTGGGGGGAGGTAGGGCCCCTGATGTAGCAATCCTTGAACATGGTGGAGAAATCCTAAACCTCCTCAAGCCATGTGTTAAGCCAAGCAAACCTCGAAGGACCGGCTATGAAAGACCTCTGCCGACCCCTCCAAGTCCTCCACACCCTACAATTCTAGCTTCTAACTCCCCATGTTGGGTGATGGCTCGGAGGCCGGACCACGAGGGCGCACAGCCATGCTGTGGGCAGATTGGCTCCTTGCAAGCACGGAGGAGTTGGGGGGCCATCACAGAGTGGGCTTGAGTGGGGTTTAGATACATTTCGAGCGCACAGGCTCGCGTCTAACGCGCTGTGTGCTGTTGGGTCGTTTTTTTTGGCTGAGGTCTTAAACCCTAAACGCTAAACCCTAAACCCTAAACCCTTAACCCTTAACCCTTAACCCTCAAACCCTAAACCCTAAACCCGAAACACCAAGCCCCAAGCTCCGCTTATGCCTTAGGTGCCTGCCGTTGGTTGTTCTGTACCTGGAAATCCACAAGCGATTTGCTTCAGGACCTTTCCGAATGAGCTCGCATAAGCCCTAAGCCCTATAAGCTAGAGCTCCATGAAGGCAGTAGGACAGGACCCTCACAACCCGGCAAAAGCTTGCATTCCGAAGCCCCTAGGGTTTAGGGTTTAGGGTTTAGGGTTTAGGGTTTAGGGTTTAGGGTTTAGGGTTTAGGGTTTAGGGTTTAGGGTTTAGGGTTTAGGGAAACCCCTTACCCTCAACCCTTTGGAAGGCCAGGGGCTTTTTGGGAATTTGAAGGGGGGATGATAAGCTAAGGTGAGGGATCCTATGAATAGCCTGAGGTGAAAGAAAAATTTGGTATAGGCACTACTCTATCAACCCTCTAAACCCCCCTAAACCCTGAACCCTAAACCCTAAACCCTAAACCGCCTCAACCCCCGTGTCAGGTACCGCTGCTCCTCGGCGCTGGCGATGCTGAAGGCTGACGGCCGCCGCGAGAAGCGCGAGGATCGCGAAGGTCGGACCCGCCTACCCAAAGAGGGTTTAGGGGTTTAGGGTTTAGGGGTTTGGGGTTTAGGGTTGAGGGTTGAGGGTTTAGGGTTGAGGGTTTAGGGTTTAGGGTTCAGGAGAGCCCCTTAACTAAGGAATATAGACCTTCAATCATACAAAGGATCCCTACATGGTTCAAGGAGTATTACTTCATTAAGGGGTTTTGGGGCTCTTTGGGTAGTTAGGTTCTGGGGCTTTAGGGCCTTCTGGGGTTTTACAGGGGGTTTAGAGTTTTCGGGTTGTAGGTTCATCTGGTCTAGCGTTTCGGGTTTTAGGGTCTTCGGTTATAGGGTTTTGGACTAATTACGTAGGGTGGGGGGTTTACGGTTGTTGGGGCCAAGTATGGAACACTAAGTGGTTGGCGTCCATACACTTCCAAACCCTAAACCCTAAACAGGGGTTGATTTGAAACATATTTCTTGATTTTTAGTACCCTCTAATCCTTACGTAATCCTTATAAACCCATACAAAAATCACTTATTACAGGGCCCCCAAACCTGCCCTGGACCCTAAACCCTGAACCCTGAACCCTGAACTATGCTTGCCTTGGGCAGAGCTCCAGGCCTGAAGAGGCTGCAAACGGCGATGAAGGTGCGAATCGGTTGGGCTCTGCGTCTTAGAGGCTAAGGGCTTGGGGTTTAGGGTTTAGGGTTGAGGGTTTAGGGTTGAGGTCGGTCATCTGACCTACATAAAGCTGTGGTGTTTGCCTAGGCTTTGGGCAGCTTGGAGTCTAGGGGTTCGAAAGAAACCTGCCAGGATGGTACCCGTTGTAGGCCACGCGGAAGTTGTTTCGACTGGTGAAAGGCTGATCTTCGGCACATTGGCAAGCGATGAGTTAGGGTTCAGGGTTCAGGGTTCAGGGTTCAGGGTTCAGGGTTCAGGGTTCAGGGTTCAGGGTTCAGGGTTCAGGGTTTAGGGTTTAGGGTTTAGGGTTTAGGGTTTAGGGTTTAGGGTTTAGGGTTTAGGGTTTAGGGTTAGGGTTCACCGTTTAGGGTTTAGGGGGAAATAATGTGACCGACATCCAGAATTTCCACTGGCGAACGAATTACGATGTGCTTGCATTGTTTTTTTTGCATGCGACATTCAAGCACCACTTCAGCGGTGTTGAAGCATGTCCGCGAAAATTACTCCGCGTCTGAGTTTCTCAATAAAGGACATGAAGACAGATGATTCACATAGTTAGCTACACTTAGACACAGGTGCCTTGAACAAGTTTTGGGTAGTTATCTAAATCAGGGTCCTTTTGGGGTCCTTAGTTGTGATGGTACGGGTTCCGAATTCTGTAGAGGACCCAAAAAGGGACCGCAATTTGGAGAACTATCCATATCGTCATCCAATCAAATACGGCTGTTTGGCTTGCAGGAGCGGGCCCATAGTACAGTGTCAGAAAAGCAGGCAAGCTGCTTCTGACCTGAAATGCTAGTACAAACCCAGACAAGATCAGCCACATGCAATCTATAAAGCAACTTGAGCCCTTGAGCCAACATCGAATCTGCTGGCTAGGATGACACATCCACTTTAGTGCAGCAGTGATCTCCATGCAGTCTGAGACCAAGAGTTTGGCATCCCAGGGCGTGATGCGCTCCTACTAACCCCCGGCAATGGAGACGCTACGGACCAAGGAGGACTTCTTCCTGATCATTCGGCATGGCGCGCTGGAGGTGGCCCAGGAGGCTGTGGAGGCAGCCAAGCCGAGGCTGACGATGAACGGCCAGACGTTGCTCTTTGCAGCCGCGGCGCGGCCGCAAAGCCTCGATGGGGCCGAGTACCTCTGCCGCCGGCTCGTGGCCAAGCATGTGAACGTCAGGGACACCGACGGGCGAGGAAGGACGCCGCTGTTCTATGCAGCTGAGGCCGGCCACGCTGGGTTCCTTCGGCTGCGGTTTCAACAAGAGACATGCTAGGAGGGCCCTGTCCTGTCAAAGAAACCTCACATCTAAGATATCGAAAAGATGATAGTTTAGGGTTTAGGGTTTAGGGTTGAGGGTTTAGGGTTTAGGGTTTCGGGTTTAAGGTTTAGGGTCTAGGGTTTAGGGTTTAGACGTAGTTGCCTCGTTCGCCAAGGCTTTGCGCCTTCCTGGTGGCAGAAGTCGGCATGGAGCTGGAGCGGCAAGATGATGTCGGCCTCACCCCGCTTGCATGCGCCCTGCAGGCGGGCCACATCGATGCATCCATCAGCTTACTGCGCCAGGGAGCCTCCTTAGGCCAGGGGGTAAGTTTGAACACATCGTTTTGGTGTTTATTCCCCTTCATCCCCTCTATAACCCTAAAACTTTGATTTTATAGGGCCCCCAAACCCGCCCCGGAGGCCTGGTGAACAAAGAGGGGAAGGGGATCTACCAGTTTGCCTCGGAGGGCACTCTCGAGCTCCTCCGTGAGCGACTTTCCGAGTGGGCACAAGCTCCGAGGGCTTCGGGCAGCCCTGGAAGCCAAACGATCCGTACCTTGGGGACGAAATGAACCTTAAAATTGGGGTCTCAAACCCTCTACTACTGTAATTCCTATTGAGGTCTAGGAACCATAAACCCTTTTAGGGTTTTCTTTTGGTCCCCAAGGTACCTTGAGCGGTCACAAGCGTAAGCGTGGAGACTCCCAGAGTTCGCGTGCTTGTGGCTTGGAGGCCCTGCAGGAGTGGGCGCTTCAGCGCCCCAAGTGCTTCGTCGGAGAGCCGCAGGTGGCGGACCTGGCGGGCCGAGTCATCGTCGGGAACGACACCCACGCCACCTTCGTACCCACGGAGGACGCGGAGCTCCGCAAGGTGCGGCTCCTTGAGAAGGCCCTGGTCGTGGATCAGGCACGCCTCTTTGCGAGCGAGCTTTTTGTGCACTCCATGCGCCCAGAGCATTGGGCCGATGCGCTGGGCACGCATGCGAGTGAAGGCGTCGCCACTGACAGGGCACGGCGGGTCGTGCGATCAACGTCCTCAAGCAGTGAGACCATCGTGGCTGCAATCTGCCGTGACTCGGGGCACATCGTGGGCTTCTCGCGCGCTTCGGCAAGGCCAGGTGGCGAGCTCTACGTGGAGACGCTGAAGGTGCAGGCGGGCCATGAGCTTCAGGGCATTGCCAGGCTCATGGTGCAGGCCGTCGAGATCCGAGCCAGTCACAAAGGCTTCACATGCAAGAAGTTGGGGTCCCGATGCCTGCGCCGCAACTTGAATGCCCAGCGCTTCTTCAAGCAGCTGGGCTTTGTGGTGTGTGAAAGTGAGCCTACCAATGAGAACGAAAGCCCGCTTTCTGATTGCATCAAATTCGAGCGACCGATCGTGCGCCACCGAATCTGCAGCAAATCCTCGGCGTAGGATGGTCTGGTCATTCGGGCCTTCTAGCGACTGATCCCCTCCCCACCTAAAGCTAATATTGTGGGGGATTGGAGTGAGAGGTGTAGAGATCTCCACCGAGGATTTGCAGAGCCAGCATGCCAAACTAAACTAATTCGACGCTTGCACTGCAAAGAAAGAGAACGAGAGAGCACCGGCTCCGGAGCTGACAGGACTCTGAGTGTTTTTTCCTGGCAAACATGAGATGACTGGGAAGGCCTTTGGGACATCATGTCATATCATATCATATATATATATATATATTTTGTGTATATATTTATATTCTATATATATATATGTGTGTGTGTGTGTGTGTGCACACCCTTGTCGGGCTGAAGGGGATGATAATTTAGGACTTTTTCAGAGGGCTATGAACATTACAGCTGGCGGCCCGGTAGTCTGAACATCTTTGAATATAATTGACACCCCCTGCATGCATGGCCCCGGGAGGAAGGGGGATAAGGGGGGGGAGGTGGGAGGGGGGAGGGGGGGGGGGGGGGGGGGGGGGGGGGGGGGGGGGGGGGGGGGGGGGGGGGGGGGGGCTTATGGGGGTAGGGTATGGTAGGCCCTGGAGGAACCCATTGGCTTGACTCGTTTTTGGGGGAACGAAGGGAAGTGTAGTTTGGGGTTTAGGATTCCCGCCCCAAACCCCAAACCCCAAACCCTAAATCCTAAACCCTAAACCCCAAACCCCAAACCCACCAAAAAGAGCCTCAACCTCACAAGCCGAACTGGAGCCGAACTGGAGGATGAGCTGGTGGGCTCGCTGATGGCGGCCCTGACGCCTGAGGAGCTGGCTGTGGCCATGGACTATCCAGGCTGGCTTCCCTAGGGTTTGGGGGTGTAGGGTTCAGGGTTTAGGGTTTATTTAGGCTTTAGGGGTTAGCGGTTAGGGGTTTAGGGTTTAGGGTTTATTTAGGGTTTAGGGGTTAGGGCTAGGGGTTTAGGGTTTAGGGTTTAGGGTTTAGGGTTTAGGGTTTAGGGTTTAGGGTTAGGGTCATGGGGTCGAGACCACAGTGTGTCAACAACAAGGGGGTTGTGTCGTCGATCTTGGGCCATAGGTGCCTACCTCGGGATGATGCATACTTTCCCTTTGCGGGTTTCAGAGGGGTCATATTGAGGAACGATTTTGCAGAAGGCTTAAAGAACCATTCTACTCGTAGAATCAGCCTCCAGATGTCTAGCGATGCCAAACTGAAGCTTAAACACTTTGACACCGGAACGAACGCTGCCAAGGGCCTCGTACTCGTGGTATTCTTAGTTTGCCGGCAGCATAGAGCTTGAAGACCTGAACTTGAAAACCTAAACCCTCAACCTAAACACCGAATCCCCAATGTCCTACAGTCTGGAAGTACCCTAGACCCTAGACCCTAAACCCTAAACCCTAAACCCCAAACCCCAAACCCTAAACCCTAAACCCTAACGCGAAAGGTCGGGACTTCCATGCGCTCGTCGCCGCTGCGCTGCCGAGGCAAGCAGAGGCCCCTCGGCAATGGGGTTGTAGCTTGTAAGGCTGAGGGTTTAGGGTTTAGGGTTTAGGGTTTAGGGTTAGTGTTTACAGCTAGAGGGCTGAGGGCATATGATCTACGAGTTCTGAGCTTTAGTGTTTAGGGGCTTGGAGTTTAGGGCTTAGAGCTCAGGAGGGCTCATAGGGTTTAGAGTTCAGGTTTATACTGCGAGTTCAGGTTTATATTGGATGCAGGGTTTAGGGTTTAGGGTTTAGGGTTTGAGTGCCGTTGGGCCTTTGTAGGTCTTGATGTCCGCCAGGAAGTATGTTACAAGTATCGTGATCCCTTTAATTTAGGGCAGGCTGATGTCAGAATGTGTTCGGTAGTATTGAACTGTGTGCCTATAAACCCTGCGAACCCGATAAACCGTATCAGCCCTTTTCACCCTACAAGCCCTCTACACCCGATACACCCTTGAAGCCCCAAACCCCAAACCCCAAACCCCAAACCCCAAACCCCAAACCCCAAACCCCAAACCCCAAACCCCAAACCCCAAACCCCAAACCCCAAACCCCAAACCCCAAACCCCAAACCCTAAACCCTAAACCCTAAACCCTAAACCCTAAACCCTAAACCCTAAACCCCCCGCCAGCGGGTGTCGTTGCCCTACTAAGGTATGGGAGCCCATGAGGACAGGAAGCTCAACAGCTAGCAGCCTGCTGCAAGATGGCAGGTGGGTTTAGGGTTTAGGGTTTAGGGTTTAGGGTTTAGGGTTTAGGGTTTAGGGTTTAGGGTTTGCACGGTTTAGACGGTTTTGACGGTTTTGGGGTTACGGACGATTACTGAGAAGTTGTGTCAGACATTTGGATGGCACGCCAAGGGCTCCAATCTCTGAGAGAGTTTCTGTTTACCGTGCTCTGCCTACAAGCTTGGCATCCTATACAACCCCCCCCCCCCCCCCCCCCCCCATGAAAAGGGTAGTGCTGGTGGGTGGACACCCTGTCAAACCCCAAACCCTGCAAAGCGCAGACCCCCAGTTGAGAGATTGAACTGCGCAGTGGAACCTGCCGCGCCCGTGTACACTTCATATGCAGGTGCGACTAAGAGGCCGAAACAGTGAGACAGCCGGCGAGCGGAGGCATCAGAAGCCTTGAAAGAAACAGTACAAGATCCTTCGCACGCCGAAGCATCTTATGACCGGATCCCCCTCATAAATCTCACAGGACCTGAAGTGAACCTAAGCAGAAACAGCCTGACCGACCCCTCCAGGTAAGCTCTGGCTCTCGGGCGAAGACGCCGAAGCCGAAGCAGATGAAGTCCCACTGCACGAAGTGCTGAGCCAGGCGCAGTCGGGATGGGTCGTTCTCCGCCCCCAGGGTCCACTACTAGTATGATCAGGGAATGAAATCAATATGGGTTCTTGAGGGAACTCCACTTATATATCGGCTATATATGATCTATGATTTTGTTTTTGATTGAAAAAATATTAACATATTTCTTAATAGCACTAAAGCAAGCAACTCTTCTTCGTTCGTGGAGGCCTTAGCGCCGAAAGTCTACACCCTATTATTTATCCAACATACCATAGGCTGGACCTGGGACTCTCTTTGCCTAGCTTTATGGCTTATACCGTACTAGTTAAGGGGGAGTTACTACTCAACTTACTGTTGGTTAGCAGGGAATGAGGGAATCAGGGCCGTATATATCCCTAAACCCTAAACCCTAAACCCTAAACTCTAGGTAGCTAGAGTCCCAGGGAGGCACCGACCAGCAGGAGTGGCGCAGTGAGGAAGCCTTACCCTGAACTCAGGGCGCATGTAGAAACCGCGATTCAGCGGCGCCATGGCACTCTAGGGTTTAGGGTTTAGGGTTTCGGGTTTAGGGTTCAGGGTTCGCTGAGATGGTCAGACTCGAAACCCCACGATGGACTCGTCTCTGAATTATGGTCCCTGTTCTCTACACCCTGAACCCCACACCCTAAACCCTTTTTGTTTTTTGGGCGGCCCTATGCAAAGCAACATCTGAAACAGAAGAATCAACATTCACTGTGAGAACGCCTGGAAAGCCGTGCTGCGGAGGAGCTTCTTGCACGTAGGCAGACCCACTAACCTACTCCAAACTGTGCGACATACTGCCAGCCTGTGAAGCTGCAAATATGCAAAAGGGTACTCTGGAGGAGGGGCTATGGCCTGTGAGGTGTGGGCGAGCCAATGAAAAGCGAGATCTGTGCATTGCTCGGCCCAAACAAAAGCACCAGTGAAGCAACAGTTCCTCTCCAGGTTGCTCGGGGATGCTCTCAAAACATGACCAAACAACTTGAGCTGCGCCCTGTGAATGTGCTGCGCGGCCAGTGATCGCACACCTGTGTTCGTGACAGTGAGTTGTTGGGGGTTGTCAGTGAGGATCTTGGTGCAGTAGGTGCTGGGTATGCGCTGGGTTTTTCTGAGGGACTGTGAGTGCAAGGCCTCGAGTCTGTGGAGGTCAGCAGTGGTGATGGCCGCTGACTCCATTCCGTAAGCCAACATTGGGACAAAGACCTCATTGTAGATGCGAAGCTTCCATCTCACACGCAGGCCGGTGTGTCTCCAAAACTGATGCAGAGTTTTGAAGTGTTTGCGCGCCTTGGCCAGACGCGTGGTGACGTCAGTTTTGGAAGCGGAGTCGGAGCGAAGTATCACGCCGAGATGCGTCGCGTGTGTGACAACCCTAAACCCCACAAGCCTCAACTCGAAACCCTAAACTCCTATAAACCCCTAAGCCCTAAATCCCTGAAACCCCAAAAAGTCCCACTAAACCCTAAACCCCGATACATCCCTAATTCCCTAAAGCCCCATCGAATCCTTGAACCCTCTTCCTAGCACCCTAGAAATTCCCCGGAGGCCCCTAAAACGTCGAAAGGCGGAGGTGCCCCCTAAACCCCTAAATCCCTAAACCCCAAACACCCTAAAGCCCCCTAACACTCCTAAAAACCCCCAAAACCCCCCCAAAACCCCTAAAAAACCCCTTAAAAACGCTTAAAGACCCCTAAGAAACCCCCCAAAATCCCCGCAAAAAAAGCCCTAACAACCGCCCAACAAACAAATATTTCCCGACCAGGCGGAGGTGCCCGGACCCGTCGGGGACCTTCCGAGCATGAAGGGCCTCGTGTCCGCGGCGCGGCTCCTGACCCAGGCCAAGGTTGCCGGAGGAGACCGGGTTTCGGGGTCTCTCGGGAGTTTTTTAGGGTTTTAGGGGTTTTAGGGGTTTCGGGGTTTTTAGGGTGTTTTGGGGTTTTAGGGGTTTAAAGGTTTAGGGTCTAGGGGTTTAGGGTCTTTCAGGGCTTTTTAGGGTGTAGGGATTTAGGGGTTTAGGCGGTAGTTTAGGGGTTTAGGAGGAGTTTTGGGGGTTTAGGGGCTTAGGGTTTTTTAGGGTTTTTAGGGAATATTACTTTTTTGAGGGCTTGGGGTGTTTATAGGGTTTAGGGGGTTAGGGGTTTAGGGGTTTTGGGGTTTTGGAGTTTGGTGTTTAGGGCTTAGGGGTTGAGGGGTGTTTTGGATTTAGGGTTTATAGGGTTTACAGGGTTTAGGGGTTTCGGGTCTTTAGGGCTTAGGGCTTGTAGGGTTTAGGGTTTCGGGGTTTAGGGGTTTAAGGGTTTAGGGTTTTAGGGGTTTCGGGGTTGAGGGGTTTAGGGTTTATAGGGTTTAGGGCATTTGG